ACAACACTCCACATACGGTACTCCACTCGATGAATTATTCCGTTAAAGTATACAAATAAGTGAAAAATCGGGAAAATTGATAGGTTTATAGCAAAAGAACTTTTAGCATCTAGGCTATCACTTTTAAAAATTGCTTATTTAATTACTGCTTAGATGAAATTTTAGACTGATTTCACTATAAAGATTAAGCAAAATAGTATTTTTTTTTTTACAAAAATTATGCTACTGAATAACATAAAGTCTAAAAAATTACAAGCAAATTACTGTAGATCAAATTAAAGTGGAAAAATTGCAATATTTGAGGAGTTTTAGCAGATAAGGGAGTTGTAATTTTAGGTCTTAAAAAAAATACAGAAGATTGGGGAAAATCAGATGTGCAACAATGCAGATAAAGCATAAATATACAGCTTATAAATGGCCAGAGAGATTGTTCTTCAACCAAAACATTCAGCCGAAAAAAGTAACAATTTTTTTGGAACTAGAAATTAAAAGCAACACAATTCGCATGTAAATCTCACCGTCACCCGTCGGCCGTCAGGATGATTCTCAAAATCTTATTTGTTGAAGAGAGAGAGTCTAGAGAGAGAAAGAGAGTTGAGGCGGCGGCGGCGGAGGCGATCAAACAAGTACGGCGGAGGCCGGCAAACAGAGTATGTGTGAAGATCGTACCAACATAAATTGAAATAGCCAAGCCCAAAAGATATTGGTACGAACGAAGGCGTTGCATACCTTGATTCAAATTTCAAATTCCTCGATTAATAATAAATAATAATAATAATAATAATAATAATATTATTATTATTTTATGTTAATAACTAATTTAGGTAATTCATATCTTAGTCGATGTTTGATTCCTTAGATTAAATCTTGTATTAAATTTGTTAAATTTTTGTATTAATTGTGAATTGTCTAAAAAGTCTTTTAATTAATAAAATTAAGATATTGTTTCAAGGATAAAACTGTATTTTCTTCTTTTGATCACCATCTACTAAATTAATTGATGGGAAGTGCTACTAATTTAACCAAATAATAGTATTTAATTGCGGGCTAGGTTAAATACGAATCTCATCAACCAAACTCTTTCTAACCCTTATTATTTAGCTAATAGAGCTTAATAGCATTAAGTAAACGAGGCCATGATGTTGAATAAGTTTATGTTTTTTTTAATTTTTTGTGTAAAATCCACTAGTACTAAGTTTCAAATATAAATTCAAATAATTAATTCATACCCTTTTAGGGTTTATTTTATCTTATTATTTATTTATTTATTTATTTAAAAATAATAATTTTATTTTTTTAGTTTCTCTTTTCTTTTTTCAGTGGTGGTTGGAGCCCCGGTTAGCTGACTTAGTGTTACTTAACTTCAATAGTTGACATTCATTTTTTTTCTTTTTTTCTTTTTTTTCTTTTTTTCTTTTTTTCTTTTTTTCTTTTTGTTTTTTCCCGGCAGCGGGTCGTCAGAGCTCTGGTTATCTGATTCAGCAATAGTTAACTTCAATTAGTTGACAATTTTTTTTCGGCGATTTAACTTAATATTTAACTATTAGGGCAAATTACGGTCACCATCTGAGGTAAGATCAAATTATGAAAATACCCCTCTTGTTTGGATAATTACAACCACCCTTCAACTCTATGTATTGTTTTATACATCTACCTTATGGTGTGAAATTAATTTACTGAAAGAGGTGGGTTTTTGTAAGACAATATACAATTGGAGAGATGGTTGTAATTACCCAAACATGAAGAGTTTTTTTCGTAATTTAACTTTACCTCGGAAGTCGCCGTAATTTGCCCAAATTATTATAAGGATATTTAAGACATTTGATATAAGAGTATTTTAATTTCTTAAAATAAGATGGTGAAATGAGAATCTTAGCGGGTGGAAATAGCACACCTTCAAAAATAAAAGATAACATTGAAGTAAAAAAACAAGGGTAATTGAAAATTCCTAAAACGCCAACACAATATATATTTCAAAAATTTCAACGTTTTTACACTTGTAATATTAATACTATGATGTATTTTATATAATAGGTGACAAAAAAAAATTGAAAATTTTGAATTTCCTCGTTTCCCATCCAAAAATTTACTATTTTGGAACAATTTTTTTAGGGTAAATCTAAGGTATGATCAATTTAAAAAAAAATCTTTTTATTTGGATAATTACATCTACCTTCCTTAACTATGATTTTTTCTTACACCGTCACCCTTTTGGTGTCAAATTAAAAATACTCATCTAGATTTCGTGGAATGTGCTCTAGTTTGTACTCGTTTTGTGTAAAAATACAGTTTCTAATGCACTACAATCTGATATATACAAGCCAAAAAACACATCTTATGATCATCTTGCTTCAAAATGTAGAGTTCGAATGGGATAAAACGAGTATAAAAGTGATAATATTCTTTATAATCTCGAAGATTGCACTAAATTTGAGAAATTAATGGGTGGTTATACTTATCCAAACAAGATGGTGGTTTTCGTAATTTAACCATACCTCAGGGATGGTTGTAATTT